AAATTTTAAGAAAAATTTTCAAGTTATTCAATAATATGATCTTTATTAAAATTAATTATAATGATAACTTTATTAATTTATAAAAAATTAATAAAATAAAATTTTAAATTTTATTCACATGCAATCATATTATATAAATATTATTTTTTAGTTTTTATTAACGTGCATCATGTACACGTGCATTTATACTAGTTTATTTAAATATGCCAATTAAGAGGTGTAATTTTAATGAATAGAGCGTGATATTATTCTTCTAATAGGCATAAGAACGTTATCATTCAGTGACATTAATATTGTCGTTATGCGTTACCCCAGCCTGCGTACTGCCTATTATCAAAAGACGACAAGTTCAGTGGCAAGAGTTTACTTAGCAGCTACCCTATTCATTGATGGCTGCATCTGCCCACTTCAAAAGCCTGTCGTCTTCCCAGTCGCACACCCAGTCCCCCCACCCGCCTCCCAGATCCAAGCGCCTCAAGAACACCACCAACCTCTCCGCCAGCGCCACCATTCCCGACGTTGTTTCCTCCAATAGCGCCTGGTGCTGCCCCGCCTCCAAGTCCTTTACCCCGACACCTTCCGCTTCATCTTCGCCTTCGCACAATCTCCGCCGGAGCTCTACTCCCACTCCGTCGCTGCCGCACCCTCCAAACAACCCGGATATTTCACCCTCTTTGGAGGAGGCTGGAGCTTCCCCTCCAATGGACGCATCTCCCGGGGCGGGATACTCCGTCTATCCTTCCTGCTACAGCAAGTTCAACTCCGCGCTTAATGCCGGCCTCCTCAACCCCATGTCACCTCCCCCTGTCGACAAGACGCGATCCAGTCCTACCCTCTTTGACATGATGGCCAGCGAGCAGGAATACCATCCCAGGACTGGTGCTATGTCTTCTGCCGGTCAGATCCTTCCCCACGGGAGGACACCTGCCGTCTCTGCCCAGGACCGCCAGATCCTACTCCAGGAGCGCGTTGCAGAGATTCTTGGCAGCTGCAGTCCTGGAAACCAGTTCAATGATCAGGACACCGGTGACGTTCGCCTCACCCTCAGCTCCAAGGATGGCCTCTCCGTGTCTCTCAGCGTCCACCGTCACATACTTGTTTCGCATAGCCGATTTTTTGCCTCGAAGCTTTCAGATCGCTGGTCTAAGCAGCAGCGCTCCCTACCTCACCTCGTTGAGATCTCGGATTGCGACGATATTGAAGTCTATATCGAAACTCTTCGACTTATGTATTGCAAGGACCTCAGGCACCGTCTTATGAGAGAGGACGTTTCTAAAGCCCTTGGCATTCTAAAGGTATTTAAACATGGAAATGTCCTCCTGTTTTTGACCCAAGTTTGATCTCCATTTCGGATCCGCCGGCCTAATAGATTAATTTCATGTATAGATTTCGGCGGCGATCGCATTTGATGCCGGGGTTTTGTCTTGTCTGGAGTACCTAGAGGCTGCCCCATGGACGGAAGACGAGGAGGAGAAGGTAGCTTCTGTTCTTTCCCAGCTCCATCTCGAGAGCTCTGGAGCAGGGGAGGTTCTCAAAAGGGTCTCCCTCGAAGTAGTCCCATCGTCAGTGGAGGAAGCGAATGGGAATGTTGCCAGCGGAAACGGCGAAGAGATACTGCTGCGCCTCCTCCAGGTTGTTCTGGAAGGGAAGGACGAGAAGGCTAGACGGGAGATGAAGGGCCTCGTCTCCAAGATGCTGCGCGAGAACAACAGCGGGCGGGGTGGCACCGGGGACATTAGCAAGGAATCCCTCTTCTCCGCCTGCGAAGGCTGTCTCCGCCTCCTTCGCTTGTATTTCCTCCGTGTCGCCTCTTCTGACCTCTCCGACGCTGCCCAGATTGCGAGGCAGGCCGATAACCTCCATTGGATACTGGACATCCTGATCGACCGACAGATCGCAGATGATTTCCTGCGAACATGGGCAGCCGAGACAGAGCTTGCGGAGGCTCACCAGCAGGTGCCGGCCATCCACCGCTACGAGGTGAGCCGGATCACTTCAAGGCTGTTTGTGGGCATTGGCAAAGGCCAAATTTTGGTATCGAAGGAGGCAAGGTGCCTGCTGCTGAGAACGTGGCTGGAACCCTTCTACGAGGACTTTGGGTGGATGCGGCGTGCCTGCAAAGGACTGGACCGCCACCTCATTGAGGATGGGCTTAGCAACACTATACTGACGCTGCCATTGGCGATGCAGCAGGAGATTCTTCTGGCTTGGTTTGACCGCTTCCTCAACTCTGGTGACGATTGCCCCAACATCCAAAGAGGCTTCGAGGTGTGGTGGCGGCGGGCTTTCTGGCGTCGGAATGGTGAAACCAGCAGGCCACCCCAGCTTAGTATAACAGCTGCTTGCGAGAATTCTTCCTGATTTCACTGGTATAGTTGTTGATGTTGTTTCAGCTTTCAGGTTTTTTTTCTTCCATTACTTCTTTTTCAATCATGTACAATTTTCTCTTTTTGTTCTTTTTTCGCGGAATGCTACAAAGGGTTTTGTCCTATTCTTCCTCTCTAGGTGTGTAGTTGTGTAGGGGGGTAACTGTGAGTGGAAATGGAGGAGGAAATGTGAGTTTTCTAGTATAGTAGGATGGAGACTGTTTTGTGTGGAGGGATATATCTCTTATAACAGTAATGGAGTCATCTAATGCTTCTGAATGGAATGCCAAGTTTCTTTATTTTAATGCTTAGATTTGGCATTCTTTCACTGCTTTTCCAATTCTCTAATTTATTTTGTTAATTTGCTCTTGTGCTGGGAATTGAGTGTATTCGGAAGTTATAAGTGGGCACAACCGGACCAAAAACTTTGAAGAATTTGAATTCGCCAATTTAGCATAGCCATGTGTGTGTGCCGTTTGATGATTTCAAATATTGGATGACCAAGCCTGATCTTAGTAGCTGTGATTCATTAATATGCACCACATATTTTGACAAATAAAAAACTGAATCCTTTGATTAAATAAGAAGCAACAACAAAAAAAGAGAGAATTTTTTTTTTGGAACCTAAATCAGCTTAATGCAGGTGAGGCAGATGACATTGGAAATTTTGATTGTCAGAATTCTTACCAGAAAGAAATGCCTATGATCTTAGATTTATCAACTTCACTCGGTTCATCTTTTTTATGGGTCAATTTAGCAAATATAGCTGTCCTCACAAATTTAAGGCGTGAAACTACTTGTTAATTAAGTTACATGTTACTTGCCCCATATGAACTTTGCGAAATGGATACATTTGTTGGAGTAAGTGGTCGAAGGAAGTGAAACGGTAGATTTTTTAATGCTTGAATAGTGAGAGGAGAAAGAGAGAATAAGAGAAAAGAAGTGGGAAGAAGAATCAGGCTCATGGCCAAAGAGGGATAAATTTGACAAACATCATTTTTATTGCAGTAATTATAGTCTGCAATACATGATGCTTAGGTGCCTTTTATAATAAAAGATCCTGAAATTGACAAATGATATTATTTGAAAAAAAAATTGAGCATTCTTTCAAAATTTTTGAATGAAACAGTGAAATTTTATGAATGCCTCTATGTTGATATTTATCACAATTTAGATCACCTTGCTGTGGCTGAGGATGATTTTATGGGCTAGGTTGGTTTTTGTTATTAATTGATGTGGAGAAGTGCAATAGGAGATTTGTGAATGCCTTAAATAGTTTAAGAAGGAGAAAGAATAATAGAGAAGAAAAGGGAAAGAGGAGAACTAGGCTAACAACTGAAGGCAAGGAGAAGCATGCCAAACGCGGCCTTTATCATGAATCAGTGTTGACCTATAACTACCAGTCAGCCCCAACTACCCAGCAGAGCGGAGCCCCCACGATCTCACGATCGTTCAAAACCAACTCCCCACGCTCACAATAAAATTGCAGACCCTCTCCCCATTCGGACACATGCACACAGACGCTCTCAGTTACGCACATAGAGAAGAAGAGTTCGAAAGCTTACCAAAGACGATTGAAGCCTGCTCTCGCTCAACGACTGATCTTGCCAGCCCGACCTTCCTCCAGCCTCCGACTCCTACCCGCGATCAAGGAGAAGACGACTTAGGCCACGACATCCATCCTCTTGATCTCCCGTCGCCAATTTCTTGCTCCCGCTCAAAAGCCTTGACTGGCTCATGCCCTAGACGGCCAAACGATCTCCACAATCGTGCCCTGGACTTGGATGGACCAGCCTCACCGGCCGACCCTACTTATAAGACTTTCTAAAACGCTTCAGATGATAAATTGTAATGAAAAATATAAAATTATAATATCCCACACATGTATAGATGAAAAAATGGCTCTACTTCATGAGAAGATACTTGAAACTTCAATCATTTGCATAAAATTTAGAGGAACACTACTATATTCAAAAGTTTTCAAACACTCATTGTTAATAATCAAATTCATAAAGTTTATGCAAAGATTTCTACCAAAACAACGAGAAAGGAACTTCATCATAACATTTTCTTTTAAAGTACATTCCCATAAATAAATAATGTGCAACAATGTGAAACTAATCAAGCAAAATGATGTAAAGGTTATGCTTTATAGCTTAAAAGAGAAGTGATGTATCCACATATTAAATTAAACTCATTAAAATACATGTTTATATGAAGTTCATTATGGGCCTTAAAATAGGAGAAAATATATGATATTAAACTATTGTATTCCAAGCCAACTTGCCTAAGTGTAGTCATAATATTTTAAACTTGAATTTCTTAACACAATCTACCCATAACTCAATGTTGTTTTTATATCATTGTCTAGCAATTACAAAGCTGAACAACTTCTCATAAGCAACAACAATGTAAGGTTTTCATAAGAAATCTTAATTTAAACAATCACCTTTATAAAGTAAACCTTGCTCCAAACAAATCCCCACATGTATTAGCATAACAATTTAAAAGGCATTTGTTGATGAAACTCAATGTAATCATCAAATACCATTTATGTAAAAAGTCTTTGAATCGAAACTCAATGTAATGCTCTATGTGTGTACATAGAAATTTCATATGCAAAATTATGAATTATGAATCATGATTGAAGTGCCACAAATCCATATTCAAATTTTGTGCTTCATGAGATGTATAAATATATAAAGAAAAGAATTTGTTCTATTCCACTTTCCCTTTGCAAATGTAGATGAAATAATGCATGAATATAACTTCCAATGGTTTCCTCTTCATAACTAAGCAAAACTTCAGCCAACAACGAATCATGAAAGCCATGTAAACATTTCGGCAAATGCTACTCAAAGATTATAAGTTTTTTTTTTTTTTTTTTTGAAATGACTATCAACATAACATATAGAAAATCAGATTTGTTCATGCCAACAAAATAAGCCTGCACAACTAAGTTTATAAAACTTGACTAATGGATGACACTTAAAATAAAACTTTGGATGTGAACTAACTCATGTAATTTCTAAGGAAAATACCAACTCATGTTCAACCTTTTTTTTTTTTTTTAATAAGATCTATCATGCATATATACTACATGAGATAAGACTTCAACAACTACACACCATAGAAACAGCATCACCATAATCTATATCAATTATATTTGTCTTTGTTATCACGTTCTTATGATGATTATTACTTGAATTCTATTTTGTTTCTTCAAATTCAATATTTGTCATTAGATATGACTCAGATATAAGAGCAGCACCAAGAAGTTAATCATTAACAAACTCAAGAATCTCGATTCTATGGTAGTTTGGGTAATTCATTAAAAATAATCTCTGGCTATCCCTTTTCCATAGGCTCTCTCCAAGCTCTTAGAACCCGATTCAGAATTCATGATGCATGTCTGATAGCTATTCCATAACAACTTGTGAGCCTGAATATAGAGGATGTCTGGTGCTTTACCTCGTAAAAACAAAACTCAGACTCAAGTAAATGAAAGATATCACACTTCTGAAAACAACCGATTATAGTAAAGCGTGATGAGCTAGTCGATGCCAAATATGGCATTGAAACTTTGGAATGGCAAAATAATAAAGTTAGTAGTAAGAGACCTATCAAATATGATCACACCATAGTCAACTAACTTGTGTAGCCTTCGTAATCTCTCAAATCAAAAGCATAACAAATATTTTAGAAGTTACCACTACATATTTAAGGGTAAACACATAACAAACATATTAAACATAAAATAATGAGTGACACCTGAATTAATAATGTTGTAGAAGTTACCACTACATACTTATTATCACATTGGGGAGGCTCGAGTATCGTGTGTTAATGCATATAATATAACTTGGCTTCTTGTTATCAATTGCTAAAATTCTAACCAGCATCATTGAATAACTTTTTCCCCAGAGACTTGACATTCCTAATGTCCTTTAATGGAGGGTAATGGTAATCCCTTGTCTTGCGCCAAACCATCCACATTTGAGACAAGTGCTTGTGGCTTTATAACATTAATCATTATGAGAAATTTTGCAACTCATGCATAAACAAAATTGAAGGAGCCCCGCCCTTAGTCTTGGGAATAAAAATTAACCTTTGTTGTTGCCATTAAACAGAGGCCTTCCTATGACCTTGTTAGGAAAGTTGACATATTAGATTTGACTCATGTTAAGAAAGATAGAGGTAGACCTAAAAAGACTTGGTTAGAAATTATTAGAAATGATCTTTTTTTATTTGATTTAAATTAGATTTTGACTTTTAACAAGCACAATGGCGAAAAAGGATTCATGTAGCCGATCCCACGTAGTGGGACAAAGGCTTGATGTTGTTGTTGTTGTTGTTTTTGTTTTTGTTGGTCACTATGTTGGGCTTCATATAGTTTTTTGCTGCTCCAATGAATGATGTTTTTTTTTTATGTTTTTAACCACCATCTTTTTAGTCATCTCCAGCCTTCCTTTTTTCTTGATCCTTTCGATCAAGCATCTTCTCCTTATCATATTATCATGAACTTAGTGATTCAAACTATTAGGTCAAGGTGTTATCAAGTAGTTTTTCATAAGAGACATGGCGCTAGGAGTTAACACCCTTGATGGGCACCCAAATGGCCAATCAAGTTAATACTTGATAACTTTGCATCTGATAGCTCTCGCTTTCCACACCTATTACTTTTGACGTCCTCTTCCTCATCTTCCACTTTGTCCTATGCTGACCGGACTCTTGGAGAGATAGCAAATGTTAGAAATGTTTTGTGGGAAATATATGAAATAATAATGGCAGATGCCATGATGTTCATAAAGTAAGATAGCATAACAATGAATATCTTGATAAGCTAACAGTATGTCAATAAGCAATAATATAGAGCCGTTGATAGTGTTAACATGATCATTTGATTGGTCATTTCCTAGGTATTGCTTCCTGGTGAGGTCGTACCTGGGGACTCATAAGGTCTCTGTGCGGACTCCGCACGTAGAGAATCTTCCTGATTGTTGAGTATATGTTGCTTATTTACTGTGTATTTGTACGTAGTAAATACTCAGTTGTGGGTATTTGTTGAGTATTTGGTAAGTTTTTGTTGAGTATTTATTATATTTTGCTGATTTGTTGCGTATTTGTTACTTATTTACTGCGTATTTTAAAATACACAATAAATAAGCAAGAAATACTTAACAATCCGGACGATTCTCTACATCCGGAGTCCGCACAGAATAATTCCCTCCTTGTTACAGGGCTTATACCGACTTAGTGTTGCCAGCACCATTTAGTGAAAGTGTTTTCACTCGAATCTATTGGCTAACTGTAGTATATTTCATTGATTATTCTTTAAACTAGCACCTTTTTTTCTGCAATCACAGAATGTTGTTTGCTCATTCATTTCTTGCTTGTATTAAAAAAAGTAATTGACCATGCTATGATGGCGGTAATATGAAGATTGGCAGACAATTATAATATTAGGCTCAACTCCAGCGTAGTGTCCATTTTTGGTCCCGAGCCATCAGGCTTCAGTGCTATTGCGTTTTAGTCCAACTCTAATGTTTAGAGTAACCTTCCTTTAGGGGTGTCAATTTCGGGTCACGGATCAGGTTCCAGTCAAACCTAAAACTGACCCAATACTATTGGGGTCAACCTGAACGCAACTCGTTCTTGTATACGGGTCAATTTTCTGGGCCCGAACTCGACCTGCTTTAGGTCTAGGTAACCCGACACGGCCCGAATGACCAGTGCCCACAAAAAAACTGCTAGTTTTCGTGTTAAAAAATGGGTCAGTATTCGCTTTTTGGATTCGCTTTTTGGGTCAAAACGGGTTTTTGGGTCAATTTTGAGTTGATTTTTGAAACGGTCGAATTGTGAAACCCGAACCGATCCATTTTGCGTTTGGGTTGACCCTAACCCGGAATTTTCGGTCGGGTTCAAGTCGGGTTTTTGGGTCGTATTAAATATTGACACCCCTACCTTCCTTTGTGGGTGACTTAAACAAAATGGCGGGGAGACAGCTGACATGTTCAAGCGATAACTCAAATATTTTCGAGTGTTCTCTACCTGTTGCTTTTTCCTTTGTGTTACTTTACTAACAGCTACCTTTATTTTTGTTCTTCTTTGACTTTGACTAGCATGATAGAGAGTGGCCATGGAGAAATTATTATGTGCGAAGTCCGGACAAAGAGAACCGTCCGGATTTGCAGCGTATTTACTGAATATTTTTTGCATTGTGTGGTTAATAAACTCCAACAAAGTGATGATTGGATAGGATTGTACATATTTGATAACGTTATTAAAGTTTGAAATACCAATTTTCATCAAGTTGACTCGATTCTTATGGAAGATAGCACAAGCTCACCTCTTAAAACTAGGTTCTTCATCTATATCACTATAGGAAATTCGCTGAATACCGGAGGTATTTCCAGCGATATTTGAGCGCCGGTATTTTCTTTAGATGACGACTTTAACCGAAGGTTTTGCCGCCGTTTGTCAAACCACCAAGAAAACACAACACTTATGTAACTTTTGGAAACCAAGTGATATTTCTCATGAAAATTATTCATTTTGAACAACATCATGCCTTTATTAGAACATGATGAGTGCAAGCTCCATAAATGCTTCATATTAATGCTTATTTTATAACTATTTGTTTTGGGGCTCTCAGCTATTTACCTTGATATTGGGGTTATCATTATTATTAATGATTAGTAAATGGATTGATATTTGAAGATAAAAGAACGTCGGAAAAAGAGTGATGTCTAGCATAATAAATGTCTGGTAGTATATATTAAGAAAGAAATATTTGACTTATTTACAATGAAGTTTTAATATAACATTATCACCCAAAAAAAATTACTAAGTTTATAATCATTATTTAATTCATCAATTATTATGAAATATAATATTTTACTTTAAATTATGTCTTATATATTTTTTATTTCTTATCTTTAATTATTTATATAATAAGATAATATCAATTAATTAATGTAATATATTAATAATAATTAAAAGCATAAAGTATTGTATGAATAATTCCAAATTTTTATGATTAAATTTAAAATTTGTGATGATCCCAATAGAAAAGTATATCCACTTGTATAAAGTAGAAAGATAACACCCATATCATTTAAATTTTTCATATACATAGGTTAAAAGCTCCATTCTTTCTATTTATTTCATGATCATCCACTTTTTTAAATACATATCACTAAAATTTTATATGTTTATACATATAATATTTAAATAATTATATTTACTAAGATAACATCATAAAATCAAAGTTATATAAAAAAAAAGTATGGCAAAATGCATATTTGATTTAAAATCACTATTAATAAGATTTTGATGTGATTTAAAAATTTAGGCGTTATTTGATAAATTTTTAAGAACTTAGATGTTAAATATAAAAATAATATAAGAAATCAATGATTTCTTGAAAAATAAATTGGGTAAGATAATTCTAAATTTGATCAGAACAAAGTTTATATTCATTAAATTTATTCTAAAATAAATAACATAAAATTGATCTAAAAAAAATTCAACCTGATTAACTTCTATTCAGAACTTTCTGCAGAAAATTTTTTCCTTTCTCAATTACCTTTCATTAACTTCTTCAAAATTAGAGAACACAAATTAAATGTTTATTATTAAAAATATCAAATAATAATACCATATCAATATATACTTTCTATATATAAATATATATCAAAACTTAAGGAAGTCACAGTGATATTTTTTCTGTCATTTAAAAATTTGAATGACATTTAGAGTTTAAAAAAATTTTAAATGTTAAATATATAAATAATAAAAAAATTTTAAAAGACATTGGTGTAAATCTCACTATATATAAAAAAAAAAGCAGTACATGTTTATATGTATTTTTTTTGTGAGAACTCTTATTTATAAAAGAGATTATTAAATTGTTTGGTTTTGTGATTGTGAACATCAAAAACATAATTATTGTTTACATATGTGCAATACTGTACTTTTAATGTTCACAGTTAAAAAACCGAATGGTTCTCTGCATCCGAGCTCGGCACGTAATAATATCTCCAACCATAGAGGTTTGAAATCTGCATTGATCATTTCTATAATTCCATCAGCTTCATGAGATAACATAAGCATTATCTAGATGGAATATTGTTTGATTAGAAAAAATTTGAAATCCCACAGAACAAATATATTCAAAAATTCAAATGAAATAAACTAAACAAACAAAGCAACAAACAACTACTATAGACACCCAACTACATGCACTCCACTTCTACTCCCAAAAAATAATAATAATAATAATCAAATCAGAATATCTTGAGCCAAATTAAGATGAAAATGGCTATATTTTTCTAAATTTTGATTTTTTTTCACAGAAGAGTTGATGGATAGAGAAATTGTTCTTCATCCCAATTTGACTCAGAGTACTCTGCCCTAAATTTTGTATCATATCCAAATCCCAATCTGTTACTTATTGAATACACCAATTTCCATTTCCATCAAACTTTAAGTACTTACTAAAATCCTCTCCAAATTAAGCCCAGCCGGCTCTCTGCCCGCCCAAGTCTTGCAGCAACTGCCCTCTCATCAAGCTCCTGTAAGTAGGCTTCTGCGCCTCGCCGTCGATCATGGAGAATTGCTGATTATTCGCCGGCGAAAACGAGAAGCCACCACCGTCGTGGCGGCTGCTACCTCCATTGTGATGCTGCAAGCCAAGCGTTAGGGAGACTCCATTGCCGCTGTAGCTTTGGCCGCTGCATTCGCTATAGGAAGAGAAATCGAAGTCCGCTACACCGAAATGCTCTGTTCTCTGCACCTGATTTTGGTAGTTGTGGAAGCTTCTCTGATTCGAATGGTCTCGGCGGTCGGCGTTGATGATGGAGTTGAGGGAGTCCGGGTCGGTGAGCAGTTTGGCCGGCTCTTTGGGATCAGTGGAGAAGCTAGGGTTAGGGTTCCGATTGTCTTGTTGGGCTGGGCGGGTTGGGTTAGCAAGCTCGTCCTCCTTGGTTTCTTCCAAGTATATCTCTTCGATCATTGGCTTCCATAGCCTCACCCTTGCGTTGATGAACCAATTGGTAACCTGCAAGTACAAGTACTGTTTTTAGCTTGTTGCTATTTCGTATAGGCCATTTTTAGGGTTTTTTATTTATAATTAATACTAATGCTGCGTATTTCAAATTTTTTAATTAAAATTTGATAAACTATCATAATAAAAAATAACTTATTATTTCCCAAAATTACAACTCCCTTATTAGCTCATATTTAACCATTTGAATCGCACTATAAATTATTACTATTTAAAATATAGCTAATTTGTCATAATTAATAATTTTTTTGGAACATTTAAATCAATTAAGACAAATTCACACACATCACATACGTAGGATTCAAACCTAAGACCTCTTGAAAAATGTTGGATGCTAACGATAATGTGTGTTAATATTGGTCGATGGTTGATGTTGAGTAATAGCGATAGTGGATGTTGATATGGGTGGACGACTAATTTTGGATAATTCTGACAGTGGACATTAATATTGGTGGATTACCAATGTTTCATGGTAGTGATGATAGATGATTAAGTTAGTCAATGACCAAGATTAGATAGAGTTTGAGTATCCTTAATGAATCCCAAAATTCGCACTTGAAATATTTTCCTAGATGTATATAAATAAGATTTATTTATGAACTTTAACAGTAGACATTCCAACCATTTCTAAAAAGGAGAAACTTAGGTACTTCTGCAAATGATCTAAGGCTTTATTTAGGATATTTTTATATCATTATTTTTTCTCTATTTTCAAGAGATTTTTGTGCTAAAAAGTAACTTTACAAAGCATTAAGAATAACGTCCCAAATGAAGCCTAAATATGTATCCATTGATTATTTATATGCTTTGGACATTTCTATGCATTAGGGTTATTTGATTGCAAGTATTTAGGATCCCAACGCATTTCATATACAATATAAATTAGGTACATTGCTTTCTTAAGGTTGTTTGATTGAATGTTGAATAAAGCTATGGTTTTTATTTTTTGTGTTTGATTGGATGTAAAGTAAAAAAGAAAATATATGGTATGAACGTCGAGGTGAGGACGAGCATTGAACATTGCGGTTGTAGTGCAAGTGCAGTATTGGCTCAATGTGGGGAGGTCATGACCATGTGTAGTGTGGGGAGGTCACAATCAAAGTAGTGTAAGGAGATCACATCAAGGTCAAGCATAGGAGATCTAGGGTAGATTCAAGCTATAATTATTAAGGTCGTTATCGTAGATGTTGAGGTTGAGGTTGCTAGCAAGAGTGAGATTAAGGCTTCGTTTGGGATGGCTTTCTTGTTGCTTCTTAAAGCTGCTTTCGAGTACAAAAATTTTAATTTTTGTACTAGAAAGCAGCTTTAAGAAGCAGCAAGAAAGTCATCCCAAACAAAGCCTAAGTGTCAAGATCATCGGTAGAATCCATGAAGAATGAGAGTAGATTCAACATTGTTGTTGGCACTAGATAATGGGGTGCAAGGGAGGGTGTGTGAGACAAGGCATTCCAAATTCACTCAATTCAAATGAATTGAGAATAAATAGAAAAAAGGCTGATAGGGATATTTCAAATTTCTTAAAATTTTTCTTCATAACAATGACATTTGAATTTAATTTATATCACTTTAGCAAAGCCTATAAGTTTCATATCATTCTTAAAGACATTTGAAGGGTTTAGTCTTCTCTTGCGAGTAAATTCTAAATGATCATAGATTCTTTGGAATAAAGTCTATCACCTATCACACATAATTTGATTTTTGCAAATATTCCAAAATCATGCCATTATTGGAGATATTTCTTCATTGATTACCAACTTTGATAATCTATTGTAACTAGTGCATTTATTGTAAATGGTCAATTTTTTTTTTTATATAGGATTATTTCTATTCTCTTAGTTCATTTTAAGATTTTTGGAGTGGTTTTCGTTGTCTTCAAAATATTTTTGTTGAGTTATTGAACATAATTTCTTGCTCAAAATTTTTTTGAAAAGCAAGGCAATGCTATTTTTTTATTTTAAGAAAATTTATTTCTCTCGAGATATGAAGATGGACGTCTAATTTGACAATTTATGGAAGACTACAATAAATGAAAAAATAATGTAGTTTTTAGTATTTAAATTATGTATTAGGCAGATTTCATGATAAACTTTATTGTAATATCAAATTCTTTCCAATTTAATTCTTGATTATTAACATAAACTCCAATTCTTGGGAGTGATATGTATAGGCATACATATTTGTTAGCCTGGTTAGAGAGTTGTAATTATTTTTGCAGTAAACTCTTTTTTTGTTAATAATTTGGCTTAACAAGTAATAAAATGATCCATGATTCTCTAAATTGGATATTTCATTTAATAAATATTAATTTTTTTAATGAAATTTTGTATTTCTCCTTAGCTTCAAAAAATTATTGTCATGCTTTAATAGAAATACTTATTTGAATTTCAATCGGATTATAGTACTATTGGAGGTGATAAGAGTGAATAGAAGTTTTTTAGGATTTATCATTTTGAGAAGACTAAACCCTTTAGACGTCTTTGAAATTGACATGAAACCTATATATTTTCTTAAAGTGGTATAACTTCATATTGTTGCAGCTAGATATTTTACCAACTTTGGCAAGTTAATATTTCCCTTAGTTCAAGTAGAGTAGATTTGATCTATTGGTTTGTGGAGTAGGACAATTGTTTTTCAATAAATCATAAAATAATAAGCCTTTATAGGGGATATTCTAGATAATGACAATTGCATGTCCTCTTGAGGTCCATATATTATAGAGCTCTCATAGATGTCTTTAGATAAATATAATTTAATATATATACCTGTTGCGTCCAGGAGTATTCGCGGCGGTAGAGAAATATCATATTTAGCGTCTTAGCATTGTACGAAAATTCGGCACGCAATCAGATAAGGAAAGAGGGTCTAGCATTTATGAGACACCAAGATTTTTACGTGGAAAACCCCTGTAAAAGGGGGAAAAACCACAGGGCCTAGCCCAGTTTGAATGAATCCACTAGTATTTGCAGTCGATTACAAATGGGGCCCTTCCTTGGGAGAAGGCCTTAGCTTGATGTACATCTTATGGAGTACATTACATGATGTAAATACAAAGAGCTACTATCAATGTATTCGTTTTGTTAGAAGGACTGCAGTCGGCGGGCGACGTAGGTCAGGAGGACCGTAGTCAGCTGGCGACTGAGGACTGTAGTCGGCGGGCGACGTAAGTCAGGAGGACCGTAGTCGGCGGGCGACGGAGGTCGGAAAGACTGTAGTCGACGGGCGACATAAGTCAGGAGGACCGTATTCAACGGGCGACGGATGTCGGAAAGCCTGTAGTCGGCGGGCGATGTAAGTCAGGAGGACCGTAGTCGGCTGGCGACGGAGGTCGGAAGGACTGTAGTCTGACGACGAAGATCAGTAGGACAGCGTCAGATAGAAGTCCAACAATGGAAAGAAATGCATCTTCTCATAGATGTCCAGTGAAGTTCGATAATCGGTAGAAGTCTGGCATCGGGTAGAGACTTGGCGAAGAGTGAAGGCCCGACGTCGGGTAGAAGTCCGACGTCTGTTGGTGGCAGAGGAGAAATCCGGGCTCCCTTGGGCGGAGTTTCGGCGTCAGGAGGGAACTCTGTCGTTAAATGAGAAGAATTTCAGCATCACGTGGAAGTTGTGCAAATTCCCGGCGTTTCCTGAAAATCCGGCAGAGTTCCGGCATCTTCAGGCGGCAGGAAGAGCTCCGGCGGTGGTCGAGGAGGTGAGGAATCTCCTTTTCCCCTTTCTCCTCTTCTTCTTCTCTCTCTTCACTTGAGCCCCCTTTGTGTAGAATGAGGGCTCTATTTATAGTTTTTCTGGAGTGGCATATCCCGTAAATAGGCGTGAGATCAAGGGCGAACAGGGAGTGGTTTCAATGGACGGCCGATATCGAATCCTTTGATCATGCATCGTTCGTTGGACATTTGAAGGCCTGAATGATGTCTGAATTCGATGATCTTGGGCTCGTTGGATTCGTCTCGTCGAGCCGCTCGATTCGGGTATAAGCTCGTCAAAATCGGAGACCGTTTGGTAACTCAAATTGCGGTTTGAATCTTCCAACAGCGCTTTGAACCCTCGATTCGGACTCATTTGGACTTGGATTGGGTTGATCTTGGTGTCGTTGGGTTTGTATTTCCGAGACGCTCAGTTTGATTGTAAGCTCGCTGATATCAGAGTTCATATGCTCCCGAAATTAATTTTTGAAGTTTCCAACTAGCTTTTGTCTCGAGATTTGTGCCCGATCAAGATAATTTTGAGATGACGTATCAATACCTTTGTGCTTTCTTGGGGACTCATGAATAAGGATATTTTTGTTTATTGCATGCACTCCAAGAATACATGCAATAATTGGTCATCATAGTGAATTTTTATTAATGAAGGTGTGGATGTAGAGATAAGTCTTTAGCCTATGGTAGAAGATAATTGCTTAAGCATCTTCAAGTTGGTAGTATTATATCTATAATAGAGGAAGATTGAATCTAAAAATACTTTGATATGATGGTCCTCGATAATAGGATTTATATAGAAAACATAGAATATAAATATATATGAGATTCCTCCATATAACAAATGCATATAGTCTTCAAACAAGAACTATGAACAACTTCATTAATAGAGTTCCTTTAGTTAGGAGTTGAATAAGCGACAATTTAACCTGATTGCATGAAAGGGTTCTTAAAAGGATGGAACCTTCCTGAATAATTACTAGTGGGGGCCCTATTTAACTCTTAGTTTCCTCCAAAGATTCTAAATTAGCATTCCCTATGTGATTTTTTAGATAAGTTGAGACCTTATATAACACTTGCTCTCATGGGTTACTTATAGAGAGGGCAATATCCATTATTAGGTGTATTTTTTTTCTTTGAAATTGATGCACTTTTCATAACATTTTTTATATTTTTAGAAATTATTTATCATTATTTAAGTTTTTTGGTCTATATATTATGATGCCCTCTTAAACAAGTTTTATGGAGAATCTTAACTAATACTAGATACTCTCTAGACTCTAAGCTTCTAAATGGTGTGGCCTCCACTGATTTTTTAAATTGTGGAGTTCCCATAAGAATTATAAGCATAAATGAGATTTTCTTGAAATTTTCTTATAGAATTTATCCGAGCTATATGTAGGAACACTTGAAAATTTTATACTTTAGTTAAAATCTCTTTAACTATAACGAATCTTGAATACTAACATGGGCATTCTCTTGTACTGCAAACTATCTAGGATCTCGAACTAGCTGTCAATAACAAATATAACCACCTTATTTTTATGCTACTTTCAATGAAGAGAGGTTGCCTTGAGTTCTTAGTGGATGGTAGTGTGAAGGAGTTGCTTGACTACAATTATGTTTGGGAAGTTTGGATGAATAACCTTTTGAAGTTACAATCAAGGATGTCCCTAATCATGATAATTTATAGTCTGATAAATTGATGAATATTAGAATATTTGCATTTGTAAAGAAAAATCTTATAATCTTAACATTCTATGAAAAATCATTCATACATATAAAAAAATTGAAGAAGTACATATAAGACGCAAGATCTCTCATATATGTTTAAAGTTTTGAAAGAATAAAACATCATAAATCCTAACTCATTTGAAACATTTTGATTAATATAAATTAAAGTTTATGACGAGTGCCCTTCTCATAATCTGAGAAGAAGTTAATAAAACTTAATTGATATAAACCATCAAATATGACTTATATTGTTGTATCAAGAAAGTTCTCATATTATCATCAAGTGATGATGTATGATTGTTTTGGCTAAAGATCTAATGACATCAAAAATGAGTTTCAAATATTGATGGTTGGATATTGACCATTAGCTAGCTAGTATTGAGCAATGAACAAAGATTAATGACAAAAGTTGAGCGATTGTAAGTCGTTAGCTTAGCAATTTTCTTCCGTGAAGAACTGAGTTTCTTCGCCTTGAATATGTTACTTTCCCAAAAAAAAATTATGACAAAATTAAATCTTGCAGGTTGTTTTCTTTAGCGATTCATCAAGCAATTACAGTCACACAAGTGGCATTGCTCATTTTCTTTCTTAAGTTTGTAACGTACTCATTTAAAACATTTAAGAAAATGGAGCACTGGTAGGAATAAAAAATCAATGCTGACATGCTCTGAAGGAGAAGTCTATGACGTCGACGTACCTGGTTTCTGGAGAGCCCGGTTTGCCTCGCTAATATATGCTTATCAACATCGCTTGGGTACCTGCAAGTAGTCATCTTTTATTCATTATTTCATCAGTATTTACTATGCAGTTGCAGCAGAAAGCGATTAATTAATATTTCCTCAAGTCATATCGTAAAATACAAGAAAATATGAAAGATTTCACCGCATATTAAACCAGCGACTCCTTTAGTTTTCACGTGAGAAATTGAGGCTTCATTTGAGATAATAATATTTCTCATTATTTTTTTTACTGTTTTTAGAATATTTTTTAACAAAAAAGTTACTATGGAAAACAATAAAAAAAATTCTCATATGAATTTTTTTTTTTTGGGGCACCTTTCTTAATGTGTTCTAAACCATTTCCTATTATAAAAAATATTAATTTTAAAATTTCTTAACTAAAAAATAGCTTTTGAAAGTAATAAAAAAATTTGTTGTAGAAGAATGCTAAATTAAGGTTTTATTTGGGACTGCTTTCTTATATTGTTTCTTAAAATAATATTTTAGTATAAAAAATTAATTATTTTTACTAAAAAATTGCTTTAAGAAAGCGGTCTCAAATGAAATCTAAATAGCCATATAAATATAAATCGAGGTGAAGATGCTGCGTCAATACAATAAATGTAGTGTCCTGCTTTTATATTCATATAATTAAGAGGAATGCCTTTGTATGAACAAAACTTGCCATATTTTTATATGTAACTATATTTATGACGCATCTAATACATATACCGGCAGATAAAATGTCATTATCATATATATCTTTTATAAATTAAAAAAATAAAGATAATTTTGAAATATATGGACTCCAAGTGCATTCCTATTATAAATAATTGAGTATTTATTTAAGAAACAACTCACCCAACAGCCACCCAAATATGTAGTGATCATTCATTAATTGAGAAAAAAAATTATGTCAAATATCATAATATAGATTATATTAGAAGGGACTTGAAGTCTTTTTTTTTTCTTTTTTCTTTTTTTGAGATTGATGAAATATATGTTTTTGATCTCAAATTAAATTTAATAATTTTTAAATATATCAAAATATAATAGTACAATTTTTTATCATAGCACAATCCATACGCATCTGGTTGTTTGTATGAATAGCATGGATCAATCAATGTAGATGGTGCCATCGTATAGTTATGCAAATGAGGGTTGTTGAGTGGTCCCTTAGTTTTATTTGGCTCAAAAAACTGAGAAATAATCACGTACGGTTACCGGATATTTCGGAGGCAAATCAGTATTCGCCACGTCACCTCCTACACAACAAAATAGTGACATGACGAGTCCTGATTCGCCTCCGGATGCGTCCGATAACCATACATAATAATTTCGTCACAAAATGAATGAATATTAACTACTCTATAAATTTGAGTTATAATTACAATATGATTAAATAATATATAAGGCCTCGCTGAGGCCGCCATGGCGGCTGATCCATAAAAATTCCTCCTTGTTGAAACGCCTTCTGCTGTCTAACGCAGAACTGGTCGATCAGCTTCAGCCTCGGCGTCTCCCCTCTGCTTATTCCTCGCGCTGCAATTGGATCTCTCTCTGCTATCGCGTTCATCGTCGCCTGCATTTGCTCTACAATACCATCTCTCAAGCTTCGGAAATGCCTCGACATAGCCTTCGACGCCAGTGCAAGATACACCGTCGCCGCACCTTCGCCGGCTGCCGATTCGAACGACGAAGCCACCGCCGCCATTTGCTCGCAGTATTTTTTATACTTCCCGTCTACCTTTTGTCATGAAGCAATAACATGATGGGTTATTATAACTGATCTTAATAAAAAAAACAGTGATGAAAAAATATTATTTACTAGCATTTTCATTGAGGAATTCTTATAAATTATGAATCATATGATTTTCTCATTGAAATGGTTAACAGCAAGTTAATTAATATATAATTTAAAATTAATAAAAAATATAGTTTATTTGGGATGAGACTAATTTTCGATGTTAATTATAAATTCAGCATTGAAAAATTACTCATCTATATACAATAGAATAATTTAAAATAAAAAGAGAGCAAAATAAAGATAGGATAGAGGGAGTTAATGAGTTGAGTAGAGCTTGGTCACCTATGATAATTTGAGCTTGAGATTGATTAATTAATTGAGTTCAAACTCTAGCTTAATTTGAGAAATTTTACTCAACACACGAGCACTGTGTTGATTTCCATCTTCTAAGGCTTGTTGTATTCCAAAATGATTCAATTAGGACAAGATTATCAATGAATTTGAGATGCAAAATCTTTGACCTAAGAGGTTGCTCATGTTTTCTACACATACTTAGGAGGATGCAAAATCTTTGATGACACTTCTCAATGGAGCCGAGCTCTTTTAACGCAAGGTGAGTATGATGTGGAACATCTTAGTTATATCTTATCTTAGGTTTAGTTTATTTAGTTTGTTACATGTTTTCTAGAAGGTTCAATGGATAGCTTATAAATATAGTTATTGTACTAGGGAGAAGGGATGAAGAATATGATATTTGGAGCTTTTAAGCTTGTGTTGGTTTCTTGATATATTTTGTATCCTTTCTAGAAGATCCATTTCTTCCACCGGTCGACTACATTAGTTAGGAATGACTCAAGCATGATCGATTAACTAATCAAGTTCAACTCTTGTGATGTTTATCTGACCAAGCCTAATAAGTTAGCTCACAAGTGTATTTGACTTAGTTACCCTCCTAATAAAGATAAGAAATTTTGTTTTTAAATAGCATTTTCTGTTATTTTTAATATTTAAAATTTCAAGCAAGAAGAAAATGTTCTCATCTATCTAAGAACTTAAGACTCTTGGATGAGAGGTTTTACTCCTCTTTCTATAATTTTAAATATTAAAAAACAAAGAATAGTTGCATGCCACTCAATGTGTGATAGAACTAACAAAATCTATTTAAGATATTTTGTATGAGAGTGACATTAAGATTTGAAAATATTATTATTATATTCTTTTTAAATTGCTTTTATTAAAAAAATATCAAAAGATAAAATAAAATTTCCAGGCCTTTATTCAAAATGATATGCTTATAAGTTTTAATATCTATGTAGATTTCTAAAATCATTTAAAATCATTATTTGAGTATATATTTATGTTGTTCTTTATATGATTTGAGTAATGCTTTACTCACCAAAATATTCAAAACTTGGAATACACATATTACATACTAGAAATTATATAGTTCAATCTATCATGTAATGGAAAATATTCCTATATCTCATATGCACTCATGGTGTGGTATTTTTTAGTGAATAAAACAAGAAGAAATCCACAATATGAACATTTTAATCATTTTTATTATTTATCTTGGAATGCATCTTATTCACATTAACTCATAATAAAAAATTCATAAAGATATTAAATTTCATGTTTTATATATTTATTTATTTATTCCTCCTTCCCTTTAATCAATGAAATAAGTAGGTTGGTAAATCTGTACTATTACATGCAATCATGAAATTTATTTTTAAATCAAAATTTAAATAAGTCAATTAAAAAATAATTATTATTATCTCCTAAATTTAATGACACTCTGAATGATAATTTTTTTTTTTAAAAAAAATTTGTTATATCATATTTTTATAATTGTTTTAAAATTACATTTTCTTTAATTTTGCATATATATATAATGCATATGACACTATGATCTTGTTGTTATGGGCTTTAACTTTTAGATTTCGTTTAGTACGATTTTCTTATTGATTCTTAAAACAGATTTTTAATATAAAAATTTAAATATTTATACTAAAAATCGTTTTTAAGAAGTGGTAAGAGAATAGTCCCAAACAAGCCTTACTATGAAGATTATTTTTTAATTTCTAATGTTTATAATTAAATGCCTTTAATGCAGCACAACAAATAATAATAATAATAATAATAATAATATAGAGATTTCCTAATGACCACTCGCTTTTCACTTACCTCACTTTCTATTTTTTTTACTGTACTGTATATAGCTATATTGTTTTTTTGCCCTCCGCTGCTCAACGCATCTACCGTCATAGCAAGGAGACGATTAATATTTAATAGCACTGCGATCCTATGAAAGGCAAAAGGAATAGAGGTTTCTAAAAGTAAATAGAATCCCTGAAACAGTAATATGTACTTTCATCGGCTCAACTGAACAGTTATGGCAGCTCTTCCACCATTATTGCGCCCCCTCGAACTCAACTCTACTTTCATCTTTCTCCGAACTTTTAATATAGAGAAGCAAGAAAAAATGAAAAAAAAAAAAAAATCTGAAACTCACCTCTTCGAGCATACTCAGCAGGTTAGCCTTTCTCTTTTGTAGCTCTAGTATGTGGAGAGACTTGAGTGAATGGTCCCGCAGAGAGGCGGAGGAAGCAGTTCCTCCTCCCACTAACCTTCTACTCTGTGACTTCTGCTTTGAACTTCTTATGAACCCTCCAAGGTTGCAGAACTCGTTGAGCAGCTCCTGCGCTGCAAATACGTACTTGGAAAGCTTCAATCTTTGGCTTCCGGTAACTACTGTTTGCGCAGAAATGAACTTCCCATCATTAAAGAAGAAGTTTTGCTGCGGAGAAGAAACAATTGAAGGGAAATCAACAGCTGAAGTTGCCTGCAAGCTGTAAAGATCATGGCTTTCGTATCCCTGCATCCTGAAATTGCCTCCTAATGAGAAGCCAGAGTAGCCCATAGCTGCAGCTGGCTGGCCGTGAAGCTCTCGATCCATTAATACTCTAAACCGGTGATTAATTTAAGATGGAAAAATTAAATAACAGATCATAAGATCAGAGACTTTCATGTAGAAGCAACAAGCTATAAGTTTGAAACTTACCAGCTAATTTCGATCTGTTCTTATAAGTAGTGAAAGAGAATTAATTCCCTATCCTATAAGTTTGGTTGATCTTTCACTATGAGGGGTGACCACTTGAGGCCGGGTCATGGCAGGGTGCATAGAGCGGCTTTTAATTATTGTTTTGCTTTTGCTGACATGAAGAGGGTGGAGTGGTTCATCAGGGATTAGCAGAAATCCTTATCTCCTGAATTTCTTTCCCTGACTTTAGTTGATCCTCTTTGATTCTGCTTCGTCCTTGCAAGCTTTGTCAGATTGGCTTCTGCTGCTCCTGCTCCGATTGCTGCTCGAAAGAAGGCATGCAGATACTGACTTGTTTAATTCTTGGGGATTGAGAGAGAGAAAAGACGAAGTGGGAGGGGCAACAGTGGAGTGGATGGAACTGGAAAATATTTCAGAGATGGTGAATGGCTTCGTCTAAAGAGAGAGAAGAAATAGCCTTTGTGGTGTGGTCCTCCCTTTGGAAGCATTTCAATTAAAAGGGACATGGGACCGCATTCGGAAGAAATATTTATATTATCTAATAATTTAATGAGTATTAAGTTAATAATTGTAGGGGCTAGTGGGCGTGTAGGCCATAGCCATAAATTTTTAGTTTTTTTACCTCTAAAAGGAAGGTCTAGATTTTGATTTCTTAGAAAATATCTACATAAAATTTTATAATCACTAGAAAATTTTTTTGGGACATTTAGGTCATTTAAGTCAAACTCATACACAAAGTCTCAAACTCAATACATCTTTATTCGAAGCCTAAGCTCTGAACCAACATGCCAAAGTGAGTTGTGTATTAATTGAAATTTGCTCTATCAAGATATTAGCAATATTTTAAAAGAAAATTTTATTTTATAGATTGATAAAATTTTAATTAAAATATTTAGAGTCAGCCTATATTGAATCCTGACATTATAAACTGCTATTCCCTCTTCATTAGTAACAATATCACTCTTTGTTAGAGGATTGATTTGATTGGAGTTTCGTATGTGACAGCTTTTTTTTTGCTTTTTAAAACAACTATTTAGTTAAAAAAATTTTGAATTAAAGTTTTTTTATTAGAAAATTGCTTTAAAAAATAATAAGAAAGCAGTACTGAACGAAGCCAGAGCAGAAGATTGAAAATTACCAAGTATTTGACTTGATGGTAATTATAATGAATTAGGAGTAAACTAATGTGATAGTAATAAATATTGAGAATTTGGTGTCAATGTATAAATAAACATGATTTCACATATATGTTTATAATTAGAGATTTGATATCGATATCATTTGTGGATGTGCCAACTCATTGAGGTAAAATAATGCTGAATGCTTTCCTTTAAGTAGTTGAGAACTCTTAATTTTCTTCATGAATATTTTCAGCTTTAATGAATACTTTCTTCACCAAAAGGGTAATCATTGTGATAGTAATCAACACTGCTCCATACTTTCAAATAATTTTTCTCAAATTAGGATAATTTTCTTGGTAACTTAACTTGAGTCCCCCAAAATTTTCCTAGGGGTGTCAATATTTGGCACGACACGAAAATCCGACCCGAACTCGACCCGGAATTTTCGGGTTAGACCTGACCCGTTTCCAAAATGGGTCGGGTTTGGGTTCCCGGATTCGACCTGTTTTTCAAACAGGTCGACTTCAGGTTGACCCGACGGGTTGACGGGTAAACCCGGAAATCCGTTTGAACCCTTGCCCGCCCCGCTACCGCGCGAACATGCCCCTCGCGACCCTTTCCCGCTGCCGGGCAACCACGCCTCCGCCACCTCGCTGCTGCCCGTGACCCCGCCCCGTGCTGCGCGACCCCGCCCGCCCTGCGCGACCTTGTTCCGCACGACCCCGCCAGCACTCGCCCCGCACGACCAGCTTTCCCGGGTCATGTTGGGTCAACCCGGCAACCCGCCGGGTCGGGTACGAGTTGCATTTCCGACCCGTTTACCTAATCGGGTCGGGTAGGGTCGACCCATTTGAACCCGGGTTAGTTCCGGGTCCGACCCGAACCCGACCCGTGACCCGAAATTGACACCCCTAAATTTACCTCTTAAACAAACAAAATTTAGCACAAATTTTCTTATTATTGAGATATATTCACTGCAACCATATGGAATGGTGCAATATCATTTATAGATGGACATTAAAATTTTCGTTCCTTTGGAAGCATCATTGTCAATCGTACACAATCTGTTACTCACTACCGACTTCTATCATCATAAGCTAAGATTTGATATTTTATCTGTAATATTAAGGATCAGATTAACTTGAGAATAAGAAAGAGATCCCTCTTATGAACTAGACACATAGTATGCTCAGTGAAATACTTCAAAAGCTAACTTGGAGCTCCATTTGAAGTAGATTTTTGAATGATAAATCTATTGTTGAATTTATAATTCTTTCTCTTTTCATATCAGGCCACAAGAATTGTGAAATTCTTTAAGTAAAAAAGAAGCTTTGCTCTCAAATATTGAGGTGTCTTTGGTGCAATTGTTGAAATTTCATTTAAGAAACTCTACAATTAAGCTTGCTCATCCAAAAAAAAAAAATTTAGGATGAGTGAAATCCTGAAAAGTTGCACTAACAGAATAAAATAGTGAGACCCTTAGGGTAAAGTAGATAATATATATCTTGATAGTTAAGAGTTTTGACTGTTACAAATGGTATCAGAGCAATACAGTAGCTGGAAGATGTGAACTAAATGCCAAACAAGATAAAGTGCTACGTACACCATGAGAGCAATCTATTGAACCATTTATGAGACAAAGTGCTACATGGTGGGAGTCACCACATGAGCTTGTAAGGGCCACGTCTACTCCTATCTACATGGTGGATGATTGTGAGATAAATATACTAACGAGGACATCAATTACTTATGCGAGGGAGATTGTGGAATCCCTTAAGTAAAAAGAAGCTAAACTCTTAAACATCGATGCACCTTTTAGTGTAATAGTTGGAACTTTATATCAGAAACTTCACAGTTAAGCGTGCTCATCCCAGAGAAATCTTGGGATGTGTGATTTCCTGGGAAGTTATACCAATAGGATAAAACTGTGAGACCCTTAGATCAAAGCGGATAATATCTCGATAGTTAAAAATTTTGTCTGTTACAACACATACTCTGTATATAATCATTAATGAGTAGTACAAAGTTTTTGGATGTTAGTATAACCCGTCAAATCACTATAAATAATACTTACTACATGCATCAAAATCCTTCATTCTTATAGCATCGGCATATATATACTTATCATGATTAGTTATGGACTTCTATAATAGATTGAATTAGAATCAACTTTTCAATTTCTCTTCAAAATTAGATGGCGGTATTTCTCTGCCACCTATCCTCGTCCGAGTCAAATAAGTGGCAAAACGCATAATTCATATCTATGATGCTAAATGTAGACAACTAAATTCAAATTTGATTGAAACATTTATATGACAAACTATTTATGGTGTTGCACCATCATGAGAATCATTTTCCTTTCTATATGACTTTTTAGGGTAAAGATAGTTCATTGCTAACATGTTAACTAGGGCTGCAAATGAACCGAGCCGAGCCGAGTATGTGAGTGTTCATGTTTATGTTCATTTAATATCAGTTTTTCAAGTTTGGTTCATGTTTGATCGAGCTTTATTGTTTGTGTTCATGTTTGGTTCATTTAAATTAATTAGTGTTCATATTCGGTTCATGTTCAGTTCATGTTTGTTCGTTTAGTGCTTATCGAGCTTTAAACAAACAAACATGAACAAACTATAAATGAGCTCTACTTTTAGATTTTCATTAACTTAACAAACGAGCTTTATCGAGCTTCCAAACAAACTATTATATCGAGCATGTTTGCGAACATATTTAACAAAATTTTTTTAACTATCAAACAAACACGTTCATGAACATATCTATGAACAAACACATTTCTAATAAAAGCAATTGTCTATGTCGAGCTTGTTCACGAACTTCAAATGATGTTGTTCGTGAACATAAATGAGCCGAACGCATTAGTATTCAAATTTGTTTATTTAATAATCGAGTATTTAAAATATTGTTCAAATTTGTTTGTTTAGTAAATTAAACGATCACAAACGAGCTTTAATTGAACGAACAATGAATAGCTAGCTCGTCGAACGTTTGATTCGCTTACAGTCCTAATGTTAACATCCACCATCAGGCCAATACTAGCTTTGTCTGGCAATCTCCATCTTCTGCATTAAATGAAGTCTCAACTCACCACAAAAGAACCTTTTCTTGTCCATAGAATGAATTTCCTTATGAGATTTTTTGGATCCTTGAGAAAATCTAGACCCTTGCTTGAGCTGATTCTATGCTAGGGAAGATGAACTGTAGGCCTGCACACCTTTATGTCTTGCATCAATAGAGTAATACAGACCTAATATGAAATTAAAATCATTATATTTGAGAAGTTTTGGGTTATTTGAATTGAATATTAATTTTTAAGTGCATCCAATCAGATGATGAATTTAACAAATACTGTTTTTTAAAATATATTTTCCAACTTCAAACAATCAAATGAGTACTAAATTAGTAACCATTTTCTAACATTTGCCTAGAAACAAATTGGATTTATACTCAGACTAATCAAAACCAGAATGATCATTTTTTTTTTTTTTCAAAGATAATAATTTTATTGACTAATAAAAGGGTTACATAAGCAAGCTGAAAGAAACAAAATTACAGAACTTAACACAACTAATAAAAGCAACCTCAGAAAAAGAAAGCAAAAATCCACCCGAGGGCTCAGCGTAAAGCCGAGACTACCAGCATCCTCGAGACTGCTCAAGGACCATCCAGAAGGGAGCATCAACGGTTGCCACAAGAAAGTCGACGAGGGTGCGAGCCCCAGCCACATCATAGCCCCGCAACTAAAAAACGAACGATGAGCAAACCGATCAAACGGCAAAAAACAAGCAAAGTAAAAATGAATTATCTTCTTCTACCACCTTGATTCCAAAATTTCCCACGAGAGACTTTATCAGGAACCATTTTAAACTCAAAGTCAGGATCTGAAAAAGAGTCAGTATCAGAACCATCTTCAGACGAATTGTTCAACCAATCACCATGGGTCCTAACATCCATTCCGGGACTAATACCCAACATTAATCAACCTGCTTTGCACATCTGAATCCACCACGTGGTCCCCCACATTAGAGTCAACCTCCCTATCATTAAGCTGCATCCCATCAGAAACTTCGGCAACACCCAGAACAGGCGAATCGCTATGAAGCAAACCACCACCCACGGCAGGTAAAGTCGCAGCAATAACAGGATTATGACCCAACCCCTCACTAACATCCGGCATCAGAATAACAGCCGAATGCCCAATATCAGCACACGAGGGAAAAAAAGGCATCGCATTTGGAGACAACAAATTATCAACCACATCCGAAGCACCTGCATCAATTACAACATTGCCTTCCTTAATGGTATCCAAATTCACATCCACAGAAAGATTTAAAACCATCT